GAAAGATTCTCACCCTGACTAACTATATATACTGATACCTGTGAACTAAGCTACTGCACTGCAGATGGTAATCTGTAATAGTAGTTTCATGCTTGGAGTGCCTGTCATTCTGGATTTCTGAATATGGGCTGCTTGTCATGACATGCCAGTTGCTGCTATGAAGTCTCTCGGGTAGATGATTGTTCAAAAAGAAGGGGGTGGTGAATGAAGGCCGGAGACAAGAAAAGGAATATTGTGGGACTGTCCTGCTTCAAGGTTGTATATGGTTAGATTTTTGGACTTATGTGTAAACATAAGAAGTACTATATGGTTTTGATGATGGGTTTGGTACGGTAATACACATTCAACAAAGGAATAAACTATCTTGAACATTTGAATGTATCCCCATGTTTCAGAAATTTAGGCATGAAAAAGTTATGATTTTTAATTTTTGTTTTCAGCTTTTATGCAACCAAAAGTATGCTGCTAATTTTCATACCACTAGGCTAAACAAATCTTATTATTAACTCACTTAATTTTAAAGCAACAATATTTTATAATAATACTTTACTATAAAAAAATAGTTTTTTTGGCGGTACCAGGGATTGAACTCAGGACCCTGTGCTTGCCAGGCAAGCACTTATTCCGCTGAGTTATCTACCTGGCCCCAATTTTTAAAAAATTATATTATATGGGTCTGTCCTGGACATGCCTGCTGGCTACTGAAGCTCAGCATGTGGTGCATGCCTGTAATCCTAGCACTCAGGAGGCTGAAATAGGAGAATCACTACAAATCAGTGCTGTATAGTGAGACCCTGTACCAAATAAATATTTTTTAATAGATTAAAAAATAATATTTAATGATGTGGATTTATGCAAATGCAAGTGGTCTTTTGTATGAATACGAAATTTTGCCAACTCGTAAACTGACAAGGCAGTCCTAGTGTTTTTATGGGTTAAGCAGTTTTCAAGTAGTTTGAATTTTTTTTTGCATTTTTAAATATATTTTTATTGAGAAACATATAGCAATGAGACAGTTTTATAATTGATTACTAGCACATTTTCAATAATTAATATGTTGCATATTGTCATCTTAGTGGTTATTCATTGTATAAGATACAGGCCTAATATCCTGTCTCAAAACCTATTAGAACAAACCTTTATTCACTGAATTAATACAATGAAGCTGTATATCTATCCTGAGTATACAGATATAAAATGGTTGTTCATTTGTATTCCCTTTTTTTGATTAGTTTTGTCAGAGAAGGGTATTTTGTTTTTTTATTTTATATTATTTATTTTTTATCTTTTATTTTTTCCATAAATTTATTGAGAAACAAATAGCAAAGTTTTGTCTCAACAAAAGTTTATTGAGACAGTTCCAAACCAAACTGGTAGGACAGTTTCAATAATTAACACATTGCATACATTCTTCCTAGTGCTTAATTGCTGTACAAGATGCAGACATGATATCCTACTTACAAACACCATTAGAACAAATCCCTCTATTCATTGAGAGAATGTAACTGTATATTGATCGCAGCCATTTGAATACACAGATACAAAATGGAACATTCATCTGCATCCCCTTTTTGTTGTTAAGTTCCATTATTTGAATATTATAGGTGCGTAAACTCAGCAAAATATTCTAAAAGAGTCCAGTAGCCCATAATAGTGTTGAGTCTTCCGCTTGACTGGCAAAGTCAGAAATTGTTGACCCGAGTCCCCTACAGCTCAACATAACAGCATGGCTTTACTTCTTATATTTTGTTTTTATACTTTTCTGCTGTATGGTTAAGACCAAGGTAAAGCAGGACCTGTGCAACAAGAGTTTTAGCTTTTGAGTCTGATAAGGTCAGTGAAATCCCCTCGGGATTTATCCTGAGATCCTGTACCTCAGATTGTAAAACCTTTGTCAGTGTCAGCCATGTGGATGAGTCACGGCCATTGCTTGGCCAATGTGCTCTCTGTTAAAGCTTGTGAGAATGTTTTTCAAAAAAGTACATGGAGTAGTTTGAAATTTTGAAAAACACTTAAAATTGTTTTGAATATTTTCAAAATTGTTTAAGTAATATAGAAGCCATCCCAAGAGTAATATACAAATATAAAAAATAACACCTGTGAGTCATCCATGCTGGAATGAAAGCTATTATTTAATGATATAACAAATGTCATAGAGAACAATAGATTTGTTTGTACAATTATACTTATTTTCAGGTTTTTCAATACCTACAATGTCTAATATTATGCAGGGCTCTGAGGAAATGACACAGTTGAAATTTGAAAAAAGTAGTAAGTGTTTAGGCTATTTTTCTGTTTTTTTTTTTTTTAATCCAGTGCATTTTGTAGGCCATTATTATAGGGTCTTTTAAAATGTAATTGCATACGTATATACAATTCCAGTATTGGCCATTAGAGATCTCTGGAGCCAATTAAAATAAATCACAAAACGTAATAAGATCCCTGAAAATGAAAAAAAAAATATTCAACAGAATTATCCCTAAGGAAGAATTCATCAAGGTGAAATACTTAACTTTGTGGTTATGCTTTGAATACCTTCCAAGTGCTGGTGTCACGTATAATTCAGATAGATGATGTATACCACAGAACAGTAATAGTTTCAAAGAGCCTTATCTTCCACAGACAAGCAAGGGCATTAAGAAAGGGGGGGTTGCTTTTTAGAGTGTGATCAACACATGAAATTCTCAGATAGGAGCTTTAATTCGGTTCTTATACTATTCTGCTGTTTCTATATCACTAAGAAAACACATAATCTCTTGGGTTGCCTACCAAAAACATTGATATAATAATGTATATATTCATGGATGTGGTGTATTTATTCAGCAAATGATAACATTAGGTAAGGAGTCAAGTGAATTCATTACCAAATTCAAAAGAGTAATGTATTCGGCTTTTAGGTTATTTATATCTCCCTGGATGTGTTCTTATTATGTAAATCATTCAATACTCATTAGAGGTGAATAACAGGCTGCCATTTCTTCTTATCCATATGCTCTTTTTCCCACCCAGGGAGTAAGTAGACAACCACAGGAACCAATTTTGAACTGGAACTTCTTATGGTAATTTGTGTGGGACACAATGTAACTGACAATTTCAGCTAGAACAGAAACCTAGGCTTGGCTTCATATAGGAATATCCCTGTGAAACTTTAAATCTCTTTAGTACATTTAATGTTAGCATTGTATCCCTGTAAGAACCCACCGCTTAGTAAATATTCGACCATATTCACAAAATAATCATCTAAGAGTTCAGCAGGAAAAAACAAAATAAGAGTATGTCAGAGAGCATTCTCATAGGAAGAAACAAAGTCCCTTTATACTTATTCATTAAGTTGCATTCAATGATTAGAGTGGGTTGGGGAATTCCCTTTCTACTGCTGGTGTTCTTCCATGATTACTGCATACTTCTCTTATGAATAACAGTGTCAGGACTCAGGGCATATAATCATAAACTGATTTTATTTTTCTTTAAGTTATGCAATTTTAATTTTTGTTTAAACCCACTCACACATCTTTTTTTCTCTTCTTCTACCTCCAAGAAAATCAGTCTATTGTTTCTTGGTTTCTTTCTTTTTTTTTTTTTCTCTTTATTTTAAAAATAACCTGGAAAGTCTCAAAGCCCCATCAATGTTCAATATTTATTAAATTCAACCAGTATTTGTAATCTAGGCTATAAGGTTAATTGAAAATGCTTCTCTTTCCTGTATCTCTAGCCAGCTGCAGGCTGGCACCTGTAGGGGGTTAAAGAATATCTGTCTTCATCCTTTGATAGCAGGAGGGTACTTGCTGAATATTGCAAATCTGACTATAGGAGGTGAATCCACACCACATGGTACTAAAGACCATGAATTTAAGCCAGATAACTTTTTTTAAAAAAAGCTTAGATTTCAAGACAGAGACAGAAAATCTAAAATAATTGGTATATTGCAAAAGTGACATAGTCACTCATTCCCATCCTCTTAAGAACTGCTTCTTCTTTCCTCTCCAGAACAATGAATGTAGGACAGGGTTCACTGATTATTTGACTCAGTCAGAACTTAGCTTTAATTAACTGCAACCTAAGTGTGCTGCTGAAGATCCATTTCAAGTTCATTTCAACTACATCTAATGAGAAAAATGTAAGTTTTGTCTAGCAGCCCAAGGGGAGAAACTGTTGAATTTACTACTGCTTTCCTTTCTTTGGTTGGTTCAATTCTATGAGAACTAATTATAACACCTAGAAAAAAAATATTTCCTTATACTCATTATTCAATGAATGAACTTCTATTATGAATGTATTCAAATTTACCTCAGTTTTCTTTGTGTTTTTATGGGCATAATTTAAGACTCATACACTGTAATATTTTTCTTGTCTACTCCTCAATTGATGTACTTACAAAATGACAGAGAGATCATATAGGCAATTCCTTGATAAAACTTAAATAAGGGATACTTTGTGTTCCAAAATGGTTGATATATGGTAATAGTCCAGAAAAAAATTAGTGGCTACTTGAATTATGATCATTATTTGTTTCTTCCTTTCTTTTATGTTCCTGTCTCTTATTTTCTTTTATTACCTTTTTTTTAAAAAAACAAACATTTACTTGAGAGACAGTATAGCAGAATTGATTTGACATGAGAAGAAGTGCATATTTACAAGACCAGAATGACAGGCATTCCAAGCGTGACCCTTCTATTACACATTGCTATCCTCAGTGCAGTTGCTTAGTTCACAGCTATCAGCACATACAGTTAGTCAGGGTGAGACTCTTACCAATTTACTGCTGGTTTCAAAACCCTGATGGAGATCCTCAGGATCATTGCCTTAACTATCTAGTGTATATAAATGTATGGTTTCACTCCTGCCTTGTTTCCTAGCTTTTCTCCTTGCCCTTTCTTCATTGTTTAATCCTTAAATTCTTGCTTTCCTTTTAGTTGCATTATGCCTTTCAATTTTTATTTCTCAGGTTCTTACACTAGGGAGACTACATGATATTTACACATGTGGATTTGGTTTACTTTGAAAATATGGAATGCTTCACCAATTTGCATGTCATCCTTTTCAGGGGCCAGGCTAATCTTCTCTGGATTGTTCTAATTTTAGTATATGTGCTGCTGAAGCGAGCACTATTATTTGTTTCAAACTTTTAAATATTTACGAGCCAGCCAGATTAAAGCACCTGCAAGCAGGCGCAAGGACCCATGGTTTGATCTCTGGGCCTGCCATGCCAGTTCTGCCCCTGGGGTGGGTTGAGAGGACCACTGAGACTGGGTGTGGTGGTGCATGCCTGTAATCCCAGCTCTTGGGAGGCTGTAAACAGGCTGA